TTGTCACTAATGACGACATGGCTACATCAGGAGCTGTGCTGGCCAGAAAATCCAGTTTGTGCCTGGCTTGAAATTTCTTCAGGGATTTGAACAGGAAAATCTCTGTTGGGATTTGATGGGGAGTATTCCTTGGAGAAGGGCTGAAACGCAGGAGCCCAAACCCAAATGAAGGGGCTTCTCCACAACTCTGGCCCTGAAATATGCGCAGAGAGGGACATGACGTAAATTTTACAGCAGTCCCCCACCTTGTGTGTACAGGCCACTATCAGTTGACAAATCATCTCCTTCTGCAGGCACCTGGTTTATTTCCCTGGCCGTCAAGCCAGATCACACACTAGGACAGTACCACCTATTGGCTACAATGCTGCTTGTTTCTTTCAGTCTAATCAGCCATCCCTCCAATATCTTTTCTCCTGCCCTTAAATACTGACTTGGGTACTTTGGCCCCCTCCCCTGAATAATTCTTTGACTCTCCTTTCTTCCTGGTCACTTACCAGCATCTTCATCATGTTCCCCATCTTAAAAACCCTTCTCCTCCCCACACCCACTGAGCCCTCTTCTTCCCTCCACCTCCAGCACCAGCCCATCTAACTGCCTTTCCCCAACAGACTTTTCCTAACTCCCCTGGAACCCTCCAGGCAAGTTGCCATGGTGCCCCCAGACCACTGTCAACAGGAACCTTCAGACTCAGCATCTTATTGTGTACAACCCGCCGGGTGGTAAATATGGTCATAGGAGGGAGGGAATTTACCCTCCTCCCCCATTCTGCAGCTTGGACAACATAGACTAGACTAGAGGTTCAAAATTTTCAAACCTGGGGGCCTCATCACGCTGCTGGAACGGAGCACAGTGTAAGAAGAGGGAGAGCCAAGGGTTATAAATTGTCTGGTTAGCTTCCCACAGACTCATGGACACTCGCACTGGTAATCAAGCCATTTGTGTTGGTGCCTCAATATGTGTTTGTGCCTCGTTGTAGGCACTTCATTTTGAAAATGTTGGTCTGTTTTAGATTACAGAGCGCGTCAGCAGCTGATTTTGACTCAGGAGTTACTGGCTCCCAGTCCTGTGCCCAGACCCAAGGGTGACAGGTGTGGAGGGTTGTGAGGTCCCGCACCTCCTCCAGACTTCTACAACTGTTTATATTTTTATTTCTTTTGCAGAGTGGGTTCAAAATACACCCTCTACACATTTTCAACAGTTACGCATCATCTCTGCCCAGGCCACTAAATACATGGCTTCTGTGTATGACATAGGGCTTGCAGTACAGATCTGTAAGCAATCAAGGAACCCACAGAGATAAATGCTATAGGAACTCTTAGCATTCATGCTCAGGTGAGATTCTATTACTTCTTCTGTATGAAAAGTTCAGCAAGGCAAAGGCCACCTTCTGCAGCTTTCAAAAGTCCTTATCCCACAAAGCATATTCAACTGGAAATCAGCATGACAGATGTTACATTATCACATCCATTACCAATGTGCTAGTTAATTCTGAGGCTTAATCCTTATGTTCTATCAAATCCTTGTTTCTTCTGACACAACATAAAGACTAGGTTTAACCAGCTGCTGTCATCACTAGGGATGCAAAAGTGTTTAATATGGTAACCATGTAGCTGCTAAAAACCACAGAGCTTGCATGTGCAGTGGGCTGTGCAGCAGAAAGCTTAGCTTTATACTGCTAAGCCTGCAACAAAGCCGCCCCAGGAGCAGGGCCACCAGCCCCCACCCGGATTCTGGGGAGGAGGCTTCGCTGCCCTGAATTTAACAGACACCACTAACCGATAAGCATTAGCTTATCGGTTAGTCGTTAAACTCTAACGTCCCTACTCCTCACTATGACTAAGGTGGATTAAACAAAAGCAGTGCCCATTTGGAGTCATAGGACTGAAATGCAGTGATATGAGCACATTCATATCTGCAAGGGAGAAGGAAGGTCAGTGCCCATTTGGAGTCATTGGACAGAAATGCAGTGATACGAGCACATTCATATCTGCAAGGGAGAAGGAAGGAGAGACGATGTGTTGCCCTTTACTAGCTTGGCCATATACTGGATGGCTGTGTCTAGACTGGCCAGTTTTTCCTGACTTCCTACTGTAAGAAATCAGTGCTTTTTGCGGAAATACTATGCTGCTCCCATTCGGGCAAAAGTCCCTTTTGCGCAAAACTTTTGCGCAACAGGGCCAGTATAGACAGCTGAGATTTGTTTTCCGCAAAAAAGTCCCGCTCACAAAAATGGCGATCAGGGCTTTTTTGCAGAAAAGCGCGTCTAGATTGGCCACGGACGCTTTTCTGCAAGAAGTGCTTTTGCGGAAAAGCGTCCGTGCCAATCTAGATGTTCTGTTCCGAAAATGCTTTTAACGGAAAACTTTTCCGTTAAAAACATTTCCGGAAAATCATGCCAGTCTAAACGTAGCCGATATGTAAGTTACTACCAGCAGGTTCAGACATTCTCATTTCACTCAAAGGCTAACAGGCTGTGCTTTTGGAGCAGAAGTCTATATCAGACGTTCTCATTTCACTCAAGTGCTAGCAGGCTGTGCTTTTGGAGCAGAAGTCTATTTTTAGCAAGATCAATAACTTATGCCATCTGTTTATTTTCCCAAGATCAAATCTTTTCATCTAGATAAGCCACAATTTGGAGGGGTTCCAATAAAAATCCAAATGTTACTCCAGGCCCTAATTTCTCTCTTTAAAAAATACCCCAGTATTTGTTTAGGAAGTTTCAATAAATTTAACAGATTCCTGCCATGTAGTTATCAGAAACAAAACAATTATTGTGACAGCTTTTGTTTAAAGAGGTACATCTTTCTAATTCTCAGTGCAATACCTCTGTCACTTTAATGATTTCATTAAATCAAGTGAAACACATCTTTCTAATTCACAGAGCGTTGACTCACTGCAATATCTCTGTCATTTTAATGATTTCATTAAATCAAGTGAAATCTCTATATGAACACATTTAACAGACCAAGTATGCAAGGGTGCCAATTAGGTAGCCACCCTTCCTCCCCACCCAGTTTCATACAGGAGATGTGCTTTCAGTCAGAGCTCTTAGTGGCTCAGCACAGAAATTCCCTCTGAAGAGAGAATGCAGGGGACTCAGAAGAAAGCCAGCCACGCCCTCTGACTCACAGTTACATTCAGAAAAGAGGAAGATGTGAGAGGCCTAAGTGAAAAGAAGGGGCCAAATTCTAGGGAAGGGCTAGCAGTGGCATAGACTAGAGAAATTCTGTTGTCCATACATATGGGGCACTGAGGCACAAAGAGACTAAGGGCCAGATTTGCAAAAGTACATAGGCACCTAGTTGGATTTTCAAAAATCCAAGCACCTAGAAAGGTAGGTGCTTTGTAAACCCAACTAGCTGCTTAGCTGCGATCTTTGGATGCCTAAAAACCTTTGAAATTCTGTCCCTAAGGCACTGGCCTGAGGTCAAATTGGTAGTCCATTGGGGGTGGACGGAAGCAGAACCCGGGTTTCTCAGGGCAAGCTCCCTGTCTACTGAACCAGCCTCTCTCTGCTACATGCTGCACAAGAGAGGACCCTGACAGATGAAAGCAAAATCAAGCAATCAAGTTCTCTGAAATTCCAGCAATGGGTCCCAGGCGATCAGGAAAGACGTCATAGTTGACCGTATGAAAAGCAGCACAGAGGTCTGGAAGGATGAAGAAAGAAAGCAAATTAAAGTCAAATGAAAGGAGAACACTCAAGGTCGTCCTTTATGGGGCCCTATGCAGCATTATGAAACTGGTGCCTCTATGTCCGACTTGCCTTTAGCAACACAAACATAAGCTTACAGTTCTGGAAAACTTGCTACATGCATTTTATTAAAACCAGTTTAAATAAATTAAGCCCCATTAAGTTCTAATGGACTATGCCCCCCCCCCAGTTTTAAAACTTATTTAAAACATTTTAAAAATAAAAAATATGAAACACTGTAATACATTTTATTTGCAGTGTCTTTATTCATACTACCGGTAGTCCTTCCTGCCTGTCCCCAGGCAGAGAAGGCCAGAGACGAGGACCAGGACCAGTTGTGTTCCCAAAAGGCCAGGTCAACCCTCCAGATTGGAGCAGACCTACATGCCTCTCCAGACCAAACTGTGGTCTCCTCCCAGTTCTGTGTTCTTGGGGAGCCAGGGCATGATATTCATGGAGAACACCCGCACCCAAGGCCTCTGGATGAACCAAAGACAAAGCAATGAAAAGGCAGGGGAAGACACCCCTAAATCCCTGTGGACAAGGGTGATAGAATTAAAGAAACATCCCTTGCCTCATCTGCATCAAAGATAGGACACACAGGCATCTACGTTAGCACACAGAATGGAGAACAACACTTCCAAAGCAAGAACCACACTGAACTATGGGATACCGAAAGCAGAAAAGCACTGCCTGGTGGGAAACCTCTGCTCCAGATGCTAATGAACCCATGCCTGCTCACACCCAAATCAGTAATTATCAGACCAGCTGTGCATTATGAGCTCTCTCAAGGAAAACCACAGGTAGCCACAAATGATCAGTTTCTACTGCTTGCCTAAACAAACTTTAGAATACTCCCCTGAACCATCTGTTTACCCATAAACAAATCCAGGGTTCCCCTTGAGCCACTGTTATGTCCCTACAAAAACTCTAACCCTTGCTCTAGAAAAGTGTTCTGATGACTGGATCTAAAGCAGAGGTACGGAACCCAAGGCCTAGGGACCACATGCGGCCCCCAGCTTGTCTGGATCCTGGAGGTTCAGGGTTCCCCTCCAGCATTGGGGCACCTGTGCTAGTTCTGCAGTCCCCCATTGCTCCTCCATGGATCTGGAGCACACAAAATCTTCGAGGCTGGACCCCACACCCCAGCCTCTGGTGTGCGAGGAGAATGTGGGGAGTGACTTTCTCCTCAGTCAAGGGCCACCTCAGTGAAGGTTTGTTGGGGTTTTTTTGCTTCTCACTAGTGTGCAGCCCCTGACCCATATACTTATCTGGTATTCAAATAGTGACTCGACTAGTCGCTTTCCCAACCCACCCCCCTGGCTGCCTCTATCAGTGAGAGGCAACCAGGGGGATGGAGGGGAGCTGGAGATGGTAATGGGGGGAACTGGCTCAAAAGCCAGTTCCCCCGAGCACCATCGGGGGGGCAGGAGAGGCAGAGGTGTAGCTGGAATTGGGCGCGAGCCTGGAATCAGCTGATTCCCAGCTCACGCTCAGTCCCAAATGCTGCACCTCTGCTTTTTAAACTTTAGAGCCGGGAGGGAGGCAGGCAGGAGCCAATATGCACAGGGAGATGGCTTTCCACACGTGCCAGCTCCGTGGACCCACCTGCCCCAACTCTTGCTGCCTCCTAAAGAGGCAGCCAGGAACGGGGGCAGGAAGGAACCAGAGCTCCTCTATCAGAGGCGGCAGCATGGGTGGGAGACGGGGTAGGGGAGACAGCCACGGAGCAGCCTCTGTCCCCAGCAGCCTGGCCTCCCCGGACAGAGGCTGCTCTGGCATCCCACAGAGCAGCCTGTCTGTGGCGAGCCCAGGCCTGCTGCTGAGAGGCTGCTCTGCAACAGCAGCCCCTGTTCATGGGGGACGGATCCAAGCTCCCCACAGACAGAGGCTGCTGCCACCCCACGCTGCTGCCTCTGTATCAGAGGCAATAGCATGGGGCAGCAGGCAGGAGCCAGTCTGCTTGTAAAGCTGGGTTTTAAACTGGCTCCCCTCATAGACCAGCTCCCACCAGTGACCCCACACTGTTGCCTCTCATACAGAGCCAGCAATACGGGATGACAGGGGGCTCTCCGGGAGTGGCTCCAGGAGCACACTGCGTGCCAGCCCCACCTCCAGGAACCATCGAATAGTTACATGCAGTTACACGACTATTCGTGTAACATCCCCACTGTGGATACCTAAAGCAAAAAGATCTCAGGGCTGCCAAAAGTGCAGATCTTTTTGCAGGTCCCGCCTTCGCCCGAGGCCCTGAGCTACAGCCATTGACACTATTGTGATAGTAATCCGTCCATGCCTAGCAGGGAAATGAGGAGGTGGCTCTGCGCACTGCCATTCTCCTCCCCCTTGGAGATGTGTGCACCGGCTCGTCACGAACAAGGAGAGAAACTCCACCTGTCCATGCGCTGATCTGTCCTCACCTGCAGCTCCCATTGGCTGGGAATCATGGCCAATGAGAGCTATAGGGGAAGAACCACCTGCTTCCCCCTCAGCCAAGGTCACTCCCACAGCAGCTTCCAAGGAGCAGCAGGGGGTGAGGCCAAGCAGGGAGCCTCTCTCAGCCCTGTTGCAGCTCCAAAAGGGAGCTGCCCAAGGTTAGCGCCTTACACCCCAAACCCCTGCCCTAGTCCTAAATTCAAAAATTCTACACCCCAATCCCCTGCCCCAAGCCTAAATCCACTCCAGCACCCTAACTCCCTCTCTGGTCTCCTACCCCAACCTCCTGTCCTGAGCCTGCTCCTGCACCCCAAATACCTCAGCCCCAGCCCAGATCCTGAACCCCCAGAACTTTCTCCCTCCCCCCCAGCCTCCCAAACCCCTGCCCTAGTCCTAAATTCAAAAATTCTACACCCCAATCCCCTGCCCCAAGCCTAAATCCACTCCAGCACCCTAACTCCCTCTCTGGTCTCCTACCCCAACCTCCTGTCCTGAGCCTGCTCCTGCACCCCAAATACCTCAGCCCCAGCCCAGATCCTGAACCCCCAGAACTTTCTCCCTCCCCCCCAGCCTAACC